CGCAAGGTCGAGATGTGCTCTGGCTCGGCGGAGACACGCCGGCTGCCCCGCTCCCGGTATGTGCTGAGCCAGCACCGCGCGCCCCGGCCGCAGGAGTGTACCTTGTCCTGGGGGGGGCCGGGGCCCGGCCGCCCAATGGCCAGAGGGTCCGAGCAAACACGGTTAAAGGTTGCCGATAAAGTGTTGTCACGGAGCAAACATCGATCTCCATCCCCCTTCCCGACAGGGAAGGCTCAGGGAAGCTCCCTTGCTGTGGGTAGGGGCTGTGAGCTGTCTCCCCCCGGGACCTCCCCTCGGGGCTGCGGGGATGCGCCAGGCTCCCGTGGGAGGCTGCATCAGAGGGGCCCAGGGTGCTCAAGGCTGGCGGCAGTGCAGGGACGCTGTCTCTGGGTATCCCCATGATCCTGGCAACGTCAAACTCATGTCCTGTGCGCTGTGCTTGGTCTGCAGGACCCGTGCAAGAACGGGGGACCATCCGTGTCTCGCTGGAGGCTGCAGAGCCCTGCACACCACGAACCCCACACCGCAGCACGGACCTGCAGCCTCCGCAGGCGCCAGGTACGGCCCTGGCAGGGCAGATGTGTGTTGGTGGCTCTGGGAGCTGCCCGCAGCTCCTGCCAGGCTGTGTGTGACTCCCCCCCGCTGCCACAGGAGATTTACCCCCACAGGAGCGATATGCACTCCATCAGACACGAACCGTACCCTCAGCCCCCTGCTCGCATGAGAGGCTGCTGATGTATGCGCTAACAATATGCCCAGCACAGCCAAAATAAATTAATAGGAGCCACATCCAAAGCCGCTGCCACAGAAGCAAGCGCTGCGTGGCAGGGAGTGAAACTCCCTAATCTGCATTTCGCGTCACTGAAGGGCCTATCTGCATTTCCAGCAAGCTGCCTAATGACTGAACGTGAGCTGATGTTGTCATTAAGTTCCCAGTGCCAAACAAAGCGCAAGACCATAATGACGGTTTTAACTGGCCGTAGCGAACGGTGTGCTGGTAGCGCGCCCGCACCGGAGCACCAGCCGTGCAGGCTTCTGCCCTCATTGCCATGCACTGGAGCAGAACTCCCTTCCCGTTGGGTGGTTAATGCCGGCGAGGCTCATGCCGCTGTCTGGCCGGAGATGAATGAAAGGAGGCTGAAAGGGACGTCGCAGTGGAGGCTGCTGTTTCCCCGCGTTTCAGCACGGGAAAGCGCAGGGCTGCAGCGACGTGGTGCCGGTGCCATTTGCTCTCTGCGCCTGCTCCCCTCTGTTTATCCCTGGGGGTCAGCTGGGAGCAAGGGGCCCCGAGGTGGGGGCACGACTGTGCAGGCCTTTCTCATGGAAAGGCTGCAGGGGTATTGTTTGGTGGGGGTGCCGCAGCTGGGCAGGGCACCCCGAGCCCACCCAAGTGTGAGGGTGAGTGCCACGGTGTGCCTGTCCAGGGGATGTGGGCTGCAGCCAGAGGGGGCCGTCCGGCACGCGAGGGTTTCCCGGCACGGCGCCTGCTCTGGTGAGTCAGGCTTCCTCCGCCACCACCGCCCTAGCCCACCCTCCCGCCAGCCCCACGCCAGCGGGAAGGAGCCTGCGGCCACGGCAGGCACCGCACATCCGCCCCGTGCTCTTTCTGTGCGTCAGCCGCAATGGCGTGAGCCTCCCGGTGCCGCTGAGAGCCGCCCCAGCCTGGCGCCCGGCAGGGCAGGGTCCCGGCGGCTGAGGGTCACTGGGGCAGCCCAGCAGGTCCCCCCCCATCCGAGCAGGGCTTGGCAGCGTGCTCCGAGCGGGGCCTGCCAAAACAGTGGTTTCCTGGGGGAAAAGCAGCACCGTGAGTGCCACCTGCGCAGAAAGCTGCCCGTGCCGAGGCCGGGGCTGGAGATGCCATGGGTGCACGGGAAGGGAAGGGCTGTGTTAGTCGGGGCACGGACAGTGAGACGGGCGTCTCTGTGGGACGCAGCCCCTCTTCCAGGGCTGCTGGCCGGTCCTCACCACCTGGGGATGGGGACGGCAACGGGGAGGCGTCTGCGAGGGCTGGCGCTGGCAGAGCACAGTGGTGCAGCGGCAGCAAACCCTGGGAGCCTCCTGGTGCAGGGTGCTCTGAAGCGTAGGGCTGCATTGCCTGTCTGTACAACTGATGTTCTCCCTGTAGCCTCAGCCTAGAGAGTGCTCTGCTTCTTGAGCGGAGCTGTTTCGCCCCAGGCAGTTTTGGTGTGGTGGTATGAGATGTGCCTCCATCCTGGCTGGCAGAGGTGCCGGATGGGCAAGTCCACTGCCAGTCCTTGCATCCCTGAATGCACCAAGCAAAGCCATGGTCCCAGGGCAGATGTGCTGGGCAGAAAATGTCTCTTGCTCAGGCTGCTGCCAGTGCCCCACACCTCAGCTCCAGCCACCGCTGCTGCCCCCACCAGCAGGGACCCGAGGAAGCAGTCGGTGCCACTGTCCCCACCAGGGAAGGAGAGGAGGGCATCCAGGTTCCTGCAGGACAAAATGGTGTCCCCAGGGTCAGGTAGGTGATGCGCTGCAGTGCCTCTGGGATCGCACTAGCAATTTTCCAGCTCTGCTGAGATGCTCTCAGTGTGCAGCACAGCGTGAAACCCTGCTTCTAGGGACCAGCTGCGGCTGCAGGGTCAGCAGCGAGCGTCCAGGTTTGCAGCACGGGTGCTCCTTGGGCACAGAGGGTGGCACAGGCTCTCTGGGGCCCTGGTTGCTCCATTGCTTGACTGACACATGGCCAGGCCTGCTGCCCTCTTGCCTCGCTGGCTCTGAGTCCAACAAGGGCCAGGGCTGGCAGGCACCTCTCACTCAGTCAATCAGTCCCTGGCATCACACTGGGCACATGCCGGTCAGGGCTGGCCACGTCTCCTGGCTGTGGCCCCGGCAGGAGCAGCCCTTGCCCACACCATCACAGCACATAGCCAGGGCTCCTCCACTCACTTAGGGGCCTCCTAGTCCAGACACGGTTCTGGCACCCGGTGCCACTCCGCAGGGATGACACAGCTCCTCAGAGATCGCAGACACCTTTTATTGAACAACAAACACCACAACAACAGACACTACACATGCTTACAGTGGCCACTACACAGGCTGCGGGCCACTTCGCTCCCAGGGCCGTGGGCATCTCCTCCCCTGTGCCACGCTGCAGCGTCCTCCATGGACTGGGCTCCGACACCCGCTGCCAGACGCTGCCTGGCCCTAGACGCTGCCAGAGAGGAAACGCCACGGAGGCACCACTTACTTCTGGGCAGCACCCCCCTCCAGCCACCTCCACCCCAAGGTCCCTGCCCGCCCAAGGGCTGCTTCACATGGGACTGCCCCAGCACCTGCCACGCACGCTCCTGCCACCCTCCGGGCTCACGTGCCAAGAGACATGGACCCCGTCTGGGGGCTGAGCGCACCACAGGGACAGCCCTCGGCACCTCACCCAAGTGACACTCGGTCCAACTCTCCACCGAGTCGGCTTGCACGGGCAGGCACCTCCACGCACAGGGCTGCTCGGCACCCCGCACGCCCCAGGGCCGCCGCTGCCGCATCCTCGCCAAACAGGCGTCGCTGCCGCCTGCCCCTGCCCGAGCACTAAGACCAACTACTCCCCAACTTGGACAACACTCACTGCCGCCACAGTCCTCCCCTGTCCCCCTGACAAACCACCCACCTGTTGGATCACTGAGGTTGGAAAAGACCCTTAAGATCATCAAGTCCAACCATTAACCCAGCACTGCCAAGTCCACCACTAAACCATGGCCCTAAGCACATCTCCCCGGCTTTTAAATCCCTCCAGGGGTGGGGACTCAGCCCCTGCCCTGGGCAGCCTGGGCCAGGGCCTGACAGCCCTTTGGGGGAAGAAGTTTTTCCCAATACCCAACCCAAACCTGCCCTGGCGCAGCTTGAGGCCGTTCCCTCTCGTCCCATCGC